TGATTCATCCCAATTTTCTTTTTTTAAAGTTCACTTTTAAATACATTTATTGTCATGCTCCTGTCGGAATCTGATTTGGAGGGGGAGGCCGAGCAGCTGACAGGGAGAGGGAATGTGGCTCCGTTGGCTGTGGAAGAAACTGGGGAAGGGCAAAGCCCGACTGGGCAGAGCAGGGAAGTGGTAGAGCAAGGCAGAGGGAATTCAGAGGCCCACCCCACTCTTCATCCTAGGGCACACAGGGAGGAACAGAGAAGGGAGCAACATGAGTTGCGTGGCTTACGGGGAAGGAAAGGGCCCTGATTCCCTTCATTAGCTGCAGCTGGGAACATATTGTTTAAAAAGGGAAGCTGCGCACAGCAAGTTGTTGGGAGCAAATCGTGAGTTATCTGAGGCTTAGCTATGTTCCTGGCATCTTCCCAACTATGTGTGTTTTGCTGGGCTTTCAAGTCTGAAATTCCTGCTCTGCCCTGCCACACTAATTACTTCAGTTTGGTTTGTTTGGATTTTAAGTTACAGTTTGTGTGTACCTTGTTTTGGACTGAATTTTCTACAGTCAAGGGCTGTTCCTGGGAGAATTTTTCTCCAGCCAAAGGTAACCTGGACATTGGGGCAAAGTTGAAGATAATAAAGGGACTCTTCTTGCTTATTTGACTGTGTTGCCTTTGTGCCACGCCCTGGGTCATCACATTTATGGGTTAATGTCAGAAGAGTGGAGTTTGAAGCAGAAGGGGAGGAGGTGCTTGGCTTTTAAAACTTTGGATAAAAATCAGGCCACTGAGACAATCCACAATCCTGTATTAAATCACGGAGATTATTCTACCTGAGGAAAATAAAAATAACAAATAGAAAGAAATCAGAAGGAAACCCAATCCTTGTTCTTTTTAGTTCAGGCAAACTCACGTCCCTTTGCAACTGATCCTCCAAGACTGGGAAAGGAAAGAAAATGGGTGAGAAATACAAAAACGGATGGGTGAATGGAGGGAGGCAGGGAACGTTTTCTTGAAAAGGGAGGTGGGGGCGGGTAGGATCAAGGAACAGACAGATTCCTAGCTTGGCAAGGAAAAGCAAGGACTAGCTACCCCCGGGAGACAGAGCCGGATTTGTGGCTTTACACAGTGCTGCTGCACAGAAATTTTTTTTCCTCCCGGCTGTTCACATTTGACAAAGGCGTTTGCTTTTGAAACCTCTTTCAAAGTAAAAAAACAAAAATCCCTATTTAAGGATGAGGCAGGTCAAGTGTTTGTAGCTGAAAGTCCCGCTTCTGTGGTGCATCAGTCTATCATCAGCCTTTCTGATTTCTAATGCTACCATTAGCTCCTAAACGAAGGCTTTGGGTAGGTGAAGCTGGCAAGAGAGAAAGCAAAATGTTTGAAACAAGCCAAAGCTAAACGTTGACGTCAGGAAGGAATTCCTTTCAGGAGCCATGAAAGAGGGCAAAATTATGGACAGCCAGCTTATAACAGAAAGAGAGTTAAGACATAAAACAGGGGTATCAAACTCACTTCGTCATGCGGCATCACGTGATGTATTGGGATTTCCCCTCACTTCATTAAACCAGGAGGGGGAGTGGCCAGCATGTGAGGCATTCGGCCTGCAGGCTGTGTTTGATAGCCCTGACATAGAATATAGAATAACAGAATTATTTAGTCCAACCCCTGCTCAAGCACCTATTCGCTAGAACTGGTTGTTAACATTCTAAGCAGTTTGGAGAACCGGTTGTTAGAAGAAATTACTGGCCTAATCCTGTAAGGAAGGTCGGAAGGAAACATTCTGGTGTTGCTTACAGAAACTGCCTCTCCGTGAACCCTTATTACATTCTTGGCAGGACTAGACTTCCTATCTCAGGAACCTCTCTGTGCTTCTTTTTCCCCCTCCTTTGCTGGTACTTTGCTTGTGTGGAGTGACCATTCAAAGTTACAATGGGCACTGAAAAAAGTGACATATGACCGTTTTTCCATACTTACGACTATTGCAGCATCGCCACAGTCATGAGAGGCCAGGCAAGGAGATGCGTGCCTCGATGTGAGTGATATTGAGTTGGCCATGCCCAGCCAATAACATGATCACCAAGCCACGCCCACCAACTAAGCCACGCCCACAGAAGCAGTTGTTAAAAAGTTTGAATCCCACCTCTGAGGAGACCCTATATCAGAGACCCCATTTCAGACAAATAGCTGTCCAGTCTCTTCTTAAAAGTTTCCAGTGATGGAGCATTCACAACTTCTGGAGACAAGTCGTTCCACTGGTTAATTGTTCTCATCATTAGGCAATTTCTCCTTAGTTCTAGGTTGCTTTTCTCCTTGATTAGTTTCCATCTTTCCCTGTTGTGTCTTCTGGTGGTTGGGAAAATAAGTTGACCCCCTCTTCTTTGTGGCAGCCTTTCAAATATTGGAACACTGCTATCATGATCCTTGTCCTTCTTTTCAGTAGAAGCAAAATAAAAGTTGTTGATGTCTACTTTGAGTTTTTCAAACTTGGCAACTTTAAGATCTGTGGCTTTCAATTGCCAGAAGTTGCGGCCAGCATAAAATTCTGGATGTCCACACATCTAAAAATTGCCAAGTTTGAAAAACACTGGTCTAAAGAATAATTATCTATTTGCTTTTAAGGAGCTTAACTTCCATAGGCAGAGGTGTTCTCAGGGTCCTATGCTTTTGTCCAAATGAATAAAAATGAATTAAACATGAAGACACATACATCAAAGAGACAGAACTTGTGATACAATGGTCTGAAGTGCATTTCATCATCTCTTCCCTCCAGCAGACCCTTCTAGCTCCAGGGTAAGATACTGAGGGAAATTTGTGATGGCCTAGTATCAAAACTTTTATGTATTATCTTTGAAATAATGCTAGGAGAAAAGGGGAAATGCCAGATGGTTGGAGAAGGATAAATACTGTCTTTATCTTCAAAAAAAAAATCAGAAAGGAAGCTCCAGGGAATTGAAAACCAATCAGCCTGTCACAAATATCAAGGGAAATCCTACAAATCACTCTGCAGGCATTTTGAAAATAATGTGATAATTACCAGAACCCAACACGGATTTTATCAAGAAAAAAGTCTTGTAAGAGATATATTGTTATTTCAGAAAAGCAATTAACAAAATGCTTCAGCTCTGATATTCTGATGGGCAGCCAGTTAAATCAGAGTTCATGGCATAACAGTTGATGCACAACCAACGAAACAAAGGAAGCTATCCGCACTTCGTTATGCAACCAGTGGAAAACTACAAACTTGAATGTGGAGGCCATCTTCTTAAAGATAAGTGGTAGAAGAGTTCCTTCAGATTTGCAGATGATGCAAAGTTAGAATAAATGGCAGATATCCTGAGAGGAAGGGGCAAAAACCCCCAATGTGATCTTGAGAAGTTAGGGAAATGGGCTGACAAGTAGCCCTTACAGGGTCTATGTTTACAGGAAGGGAAGTAAGCAGTGAAGTACCACAAACGTTCCATCTTAGACCCAGTACTCTTCAATATCTTCATTTTATTTATTTATTTATTTAGTCAAACAATTATTAGATAACAGGTATAAGTATAAACATGGTTATAAATACATGAAATGGATACGAATAAGAAAAAAAAGAAACAATAGGACAGGGACAGTAGGCACGTTTTGGTGCGCTTATGCACGCCCCCTACAGACCTCTTAGGAAAGAGGTGAGGTCAATAGTAGACAGTCCAATGTTGAAGAGTTTGGGGTTTGGGGAAGAAACCAGAGTCAGGTAGAGTATTCCAGACATTGACCACTCTGTTGCTGAAGTCGTATTTCCTGCAATCAAGTTTGGTGCGGTTTATCTTTAGTTTGTATCTATTTTATGCTCTTGCATTGTTTTGGTTGAAGCTGAAGTATTCATTGATAGGTAGGACATTGCAATATATAATTTTATATACTATACTTAGATCGAACTGAAGGCGGCATAGTTCTAGGTTGTCTAGGTCTAAAATTTCAAGTCTGGTGGCATAAGGGTATTCTGCAACGAGTAGAGGAGTGGAGGATTCTTCTCGTAAAATATTTCTGGACTTTCTCAATTGTATTAATATCAGATATGTTATGCGGGTTCCAGACTGATGAGCTATATTCAAGTATTGGTCTAGCAAATGTTTTATATGCTCTAGTTAGTAAAGTGATATTACCAGAGAAAAAGCTACGCAGAATTAGGTTAACAACTCTTAATGCCTTTTGGGCTATGTAGTTACAGTGGGCACTAGCACTTAGATCATTTGAGATGAGTACTTCAAGGTCTTTGACAAAGTTTTTGTCATCAACAAGGTCTTGACTATTCAGCTTGTATTTTATTTTTTGATTTTTTTTGCCAATATGTAAGATAGAACATTTATTTGTTGAGATTTGAAGTTGCCATTTGTTTGACCATTCTGACACATAGTTGAGGTCTTTTTGAAGGGTAGCAGCGTTGTCAGTGGTGTTGAATAGCTTTACGTCATCAGCGAAAAGAACGCAGTTGCTCTTAATATAATCACAGAGGTCATTAATATAGAGTATGAAGAGAGTTGGTCCTAGAACACTGCCTTGGGGGACACCACTGTTCACAGGTACAGGATTTGATAGGACATTCCCAATTTTGACCATTTGTTGTCTGTTTGACAGGAATGCTTCTATCCAGTTATGCAGGCATCTTCATAAATGACTTAGATGAGAGAATAGAAGGGGAACTTGCCAAATTTGCAGATGATACTAAGCTGGCAGTGGGCCCTATCTAACAAAATGAAATTCAATGTAGATAAAAGTAAAGACTTTCACTTAGGCAAGAAAAACCAAAAGTACACATATAGACTGGGTGAAACCAGACTCAATAGCAGTAACTGTGAGAGGGATCTTGGAGTCTTAGTGGACAACCAGCTAAATATGAGCCAGCAGTGTGCAACAGCAGTCAAAAAAGCTAATGCAATCCTAAATTGCATTAACAGAGGGATACAATTGAGATCAAGTGAGGTACTAATGCCACTCTATAAAGCCTTAGTGAGACCACACCTAGAACACTGCATCCAGTTTTTGTCAATACATGAAGTTGGGATCCAGAAAAAGTTCAAAGAAGAGCAACCAGGATGATTAGGGGACTGGAGGCTAAAACATATGAAGAACAGTTACAGGAAGAGGGTGTGGCTAGTCTAGTCAAGAGAAGGACCAGGGGAGACAGGATAGCAGTCTTCCCATATTTGTGGGGCTGTCACAGAGAGGAAGGGGTCAAGCTATTCTCCAAAGTACCTGAAGGCCAGACAAGGAATAATGGATGGAAACTGAACAAGGAGAGATTCAACTTGGAAATAAGGAAAAATTTTCTGACAGGGAGAACCATCAACCCATGGAACAGAAGGTGCCTTTGGAAGTTATAGGAACTTCATTACTGGAGGTTTTCAAGAAGAGACTGGACTGCCATTTGTCAGATATGGTGTAGGATTTCCTGCTTAAGCGGGGGTTGGGGGGAGTTGGACTCACTAGATGACCTACAAGATCCCTTCCAACTCTGTTAATCTATATATACTGTATATCTAAAATACCAGAATGAAATTTAATGGAGAACTCCACAAAGAAATGAAATGAAATTTTATTAGAGTTCTGCAGAAAGAAAGAAAAATCTAACGCATGGTTATAAAATGGGGAATACCTGGCCTGGTAATAGAGTTTAGGAAATTTGTTTTGCTTTTTCTCTCTCAATGTTTGGGGAATTCTTCAGCCATTTTCCTTGGTTGCTTTAAATATTTAAGTGCTATGATGGTCAGAACCAGGTAAGTCTCTGGTTTCTACAAAGCAGCTTTGAACAGCAGCTCTGTTTGTGCTTGGCCTCCAAAAATGTCTGGAATGTGCAAGTATGTGTAATGTGCGAGTGTATGCATGTGTGTTTTTCTTTATTTTCCTGCAGCTTAATGAGCTGCTGTTCCACACTGGAATGCAAGTCTTTTGCAGTTCTAAATTAAGCTTACATTATTGAGGTATTATACTATAACTGAAAAAGTTCCATAGCTTGCAGATAGTTGCAAGAGAAAGCAATTTTAAACTTGGAAGGATGACGTTATTGAAATAGCCAAGGGAATGCAAACTTGAAATGAGAGTTGGCAAAAAGAAGCCTGGCCAAAAATGAGAAGGTAATCGTAGATATTTTGTGTATTTCAAAGCTGCAAGGTAGAGTTTCTATTTCAGTGGAATGGAAAATGTAATTCGAGAACAATTTTTAAAATAAAACAACTATTTAAAAGCATCACATTCCAAAAATGAAAATAAGGCATGATATAGCTAATATGGTAGATGTCTACGGACATTCTCAGTCATCCAGGTCATAGTTGTCCCAAAGGTGCTTTATTTATTTATTTAATTTATATTGCTGCCTATTCGCCCATGGCGACTCAAGAAAGCTTATACAATGTAAAACCATATTTAAAACAAAAAATAAAAATAAAACAATAAAAACTAACAAAAAGAATCAAATAAATTAGTAATGTACAATAGAACAAAATTTGGAAAAATGTTTTTTAAAAATGAACAGTTCTAAGTCAAGGACTCGTTGTACAAAGATTCCTCTATGCATTTTTGCATGCTTTCTTTATTTTAAAAAAGCAGGGAATTCTGGAAAGTTTGAAAAAAGAAACCAAACTCTTTAATTGGAAGAGGACTGAACAAAATTCTTGTATCATTAATTGACAGCTACTATCTTGGAAAAAGAAATCACATTGGAGGAAAAATCTCTTGTGTAATTACTTGCCAATATCACAAACATGGTTTACCCCAAAGCCAAAAAATACTTGTCCTCATGTTTCAAAGTTATACTTAGATATCAGCAGTGCGATCCTACCTGTTCCATTACCAGTTTGGTGATCGAGCGCGTGTCCTCTCAGCTGATCATCGGAGGCATTTTTTACTACCGGTTTGGCTGAACCTGTCTGAACCAGTAGCACACCACCACTGCTTGATATGTGTTTGTTTACATGATTTGAATTCAAACCAGAACGGTTCTTAACGCAATACACCATAATAAATGTTTACCTGCAGACAGATAATATAAATTCTTAGCAGGAGAGTATGAGCAGAGCAAATTAATGCTTATGTCTAATTAATTTAAGGTATCTCAAGAGTGCGAGAATGCTGGCGAAGGGAACTACAAGCATTAACTTCTGAATAGGCAACCTAAAACAAATGATGGATTGCTGTGGTGGGAAAAATAGAAGGAAGAACAAGTGTTATGTATCTTTGCTGCCTTGAATTATTTATCAACTAATAAAGGTGGGATATAAATCTAATAAATAAATATTTAACATTTTTTTTCAATGTGGAAGTGGTTTGTGTTTTTTTGTGGGGGGGAGGGAAGATTTTACCTGCTTTATCCACACAACCTCCCTGCAAGATACTGAAAGGTTTTTGGTCACTTGTAACTACTAATCTTCCTTTCCTCAATTCACCACTAGCCTGAGGCCTTTCACATTCTTAAAATCTTCCTCCCTGAGCCTGGAATGTGCCGTTTTTACAGAGAGATGACTCTGATTGATGTGGAAATAGTTTTCAGTCTGAAAGACCAGCTGTTATTTTTATCAAGCAACCCAAGCACATCTTTTGCTTTCTGACTGTATTCCATGCTGTCATTATTTTTAGGAACTTGCTGGCTGAAAACCATAGAATGGCTGCATGGCAAGACATCTGCTTGCTTGAAAGACTCAGATTTAGTACCTGGAACTTATGCCATGCCAGAAATCCTGGAGAAACTTTACCTGTCAGTAAACAACATGGGTACCCCAGAAAAAAATGTGTCCCCTAGTGGAAAGGAGGGAGGGAGGGAGGGAGGGAAGAAGGAAGGAAAGAAGGAAAATGAAAGATTTTAGTTACCCAATCAGGCTTGAAGTAATACATTGTCTGAGGGAGGGAGGGAAGGAGGGGAAGGGTTAGTCTGTCCTTGCCTGAAAGAATGCTTTCACAGTTTTGCAAAGAAGATAACACACTCTATAAATGAGCAGTGTTGCGATTGCCTGCACTCACATGGAAGCCATGTTATGAGTGCACCTCCCAACATCACCACAAAACTCCAAAATATCATTCTGCCATGAAACCCTGACTTCCTTCAGTGGAGAGAATATCAAGCTAGATGGATCAACAACTTACAGTAGTCCTCAACTTACAACTATCATTGAATTACAGAATTATGGTGGTAAGTTGTATTGGTCATTAAGCAGTCATTGACCACACCTGATTTTGCTACCTTTTTTTGCAGCAGTCATTAACTGAATCTGAAAGTAAATACCAGAAACTGGCAGAAATAGGAAATATAAATAAATACACTGAAAATTGTGGCCATGTATACACAGCATGCTGTTAACAGCCATAAATGTGAGCTGCCTGTTAGGCACCCAAATGCAGTCATGTGACTTTGTGTGCGCAGTTGTGGGAACTCTGGAACCTGGATGATAGAGGTCCTTCGTAACTCTGAATGATCCCTAAACAAGGACTACAGGAGCTTCCTAGGGCAAACACACTGGCTAAATGCTCCTGATTCAATTCCTGTTTTCACCAAACAGAGATAAGAGAAACATCTGCATGAAATTTTGTAGCTGCACAGCTGGGCAAGACCTGGAACTAGAGAGACTGCAGTCAGGTGTCTTTAATGCTAGTTGTAGGGTAAACGTAAAGTTTTGGGAATGGAAAATAGAATTTCCCAGCTTCCTTTTTAGTGAGTTCATCATGACAGAGTCTCTGAATTCTTTAAAATGCTTCTCCCCAGCTTTTCCTCCACCTGGGCTGAGTTGCCATTTAAGAGATAAGGCAAAATCTCTTTGGATGTCCCAAAGGTGCTTTCCCAAAAGGTAACGGGAGTTTCTTGGCTTTTTCCTTGAAAAAGTTTCGCTTCTCAACTAAGATGGTTCTTCAGTTTTAAGTCAGTTGTACGTTCTGAGTTTGAATTGAAGAAACTTCTTGGTTGAGGAGCTAAATGTTTTCAAGGGGGAAAAAAACACCAAGAAAGTCCAGTTGCCTTTTGGAAAAGCACTTCTGAGACAACCATGATCTGGATGGTTGAGAATCTCCACAGACAATCTCTTTAGATAATTTGAAATGCTTCTTCCCAGTTTTCTCTCTACCTGGGCTGGGTTAACACTATCTCTCCCATTAGCCAAAAATGTCTCAGTCTTCCCAATATAGCATGGCAGATACTTTGGAAGGAGATTCCTATCAGGGCTATGCTGGGGATGATAGGTTATGTAGTGATAAATCTGGACATCCCAGTTGAAACAGCCGGCTCTGAACAATATACCAAATTAGATACTTGGCTTGTTTGGGAGTCACTCAGCTTCCTATGAATAGACTACAGGTACAATCATTCATTTAGTGACTGTTCAAAGTTACAACCACACTGAAAAAGTGAATTATGACCATTTTTCACACTTATGACCATTGCAGCATCCCCATGGTCATGTGATCAAAATTCAGATGCTTGGCAACTGGTTCACTTTTACGACAGTTGCAGTATTTTGAAATCATTTATGGTCTTCTGACAAGCAAAGTCAATGAGGAAGCCAAATTCACTTTACCACCAGTTATTAACTCATCAAATGCAGTGATTCACTTAACAACTATGGCAAGAAAGGTCATAAAATGGGGCAAAAGCAAACTCACTGTCTCGCTTACAAAAGACATTTTGGGCTCCATGGTGGTCATAATTTGAGGACTACCTGCACTTTATTGGCCAAGAATGATTAGACACACAAGCAATTTGGCTCTAGTCCCTAAACTTTCAACCTACATGCAAAGCAAATAATAATAATAATAATAATAATAATAATAATAATAATAATAACAACAACAACAACAACAACAATATCAAAGCAATAATCATAAGAATGATACGGATAAGAGAAGGTAGTGGAACAGATGAGAAGGCTAAAAATAATACAGCCATACTACATGGATAAGTACACTTAGACATAAGAGAGTGCTGTTGGGATTAGGTGTTAGAGCAGAATGATGGCACGAGGGAAAAAACTGTCTCTGTGTCTGCAGATTTCTGTATGCAGAAATC